CAGCCGCCGCCGCCGCCGCCGCCGCCGCTGCCTTCCCCTGCCTGTCCTCGGTGTTGTCGCCCCCTCCCGAGAAGGCCAGCGCCGCCGCCGCGACCCTCTTGCCGCACGAGGTGGCGCCTCCTGGGGCGCTGCACCCCCCGCACCCGCACGGCCGCACCCACCTGTCCTTCGCCGGCGCCCGCGAGCCCGGGAACCCGGAGAGCACTGCTCAGGAAGATCCCTCGCAGCCAGGAAAGGAAACCCACTGAATCTTCGCCCCCTTTCTTAGACAGGACGAGGGTTCACGCGAAATAATAATATTAATAAGTTAAAACACCCTTAACGTTTTTAAGGGAGGAAGTGTAATAGATGCACGACAGGCTTTTAAAACAACACAGGTGTTTCGTGTACATTTGGAGTTCCTGTTTTGCTCATCCCTCACCACCCCACCCTCCGCACACTAACGTCCTTTTCTTCCCCCACCAGCTCTAAAAGAACCTCTGCGATATTGATACTTTCTTCTTTAAAGAATTCGCCCAAATAAGTTTTGCCTTCCTTTAGGCCATGTTCCATTATCTTTTAAAATACAGAACCTAATTCTGGAGGAAGAAGGGTCTGCTCTGTGGGTGCGCTGATTGAACCAAGGTAGGGGAAAGGTGGCGGAGGAGTTGACCTCCAACAGCCAGCAGGTAGTTATTATCTGCCTGTCGCAGAGCTGTCCCACCGGCTTCAGGAGCCTTTCCACAACCAGAAAGAGGATCTTTTAGAATTGAATTTACTCTTCAGTATTTTATAATGTTCAGCTTTTTTTAAAGGCATATATTTTTCAAAGAGGAAGAAGTGAAAATGCAGTCACTTACGTTGCAACCTATTCTGAAGTGGTTTGAATGGTATCCCTTAGTAACTTGCTCTTGTTTAAAGAGACTCGGAGTTGGGCCGTTGTCAGAACTGAGTCAGGGAAGGAGATGGATGAGGAAGGCTAGAATCATTCTTGGTACACTTACTAGCACTTTATGGAGAAATTGACCGTGAATCAATTGACGTGTCTTAATTTCATTCATATATATAGTACTATATATATATATATAGTACATCTCTTCCCACCTTGTCATTATTTAATTCACCATATTCCTAAATTTTTATAACCTTGCTGTAAAAAAGGAATGTGCACTGAACTTAAAAACAAAGAAAACAAATCCAAAATGATTTATCCTATATTCTGTTAAATAACAAAAGGGGAGGAAAGCATTAAACTGGTCAGTTTTGATTGGAAAAGCTGTAAAGATGTGGAATGAAGCCCTGTGAGGCCTTCCTATCTCCAAGTCTATGTATTTTCTGGAGACCAAACCAGATACCAGATAATCACAAAGAAAGCTTTTTTAATAAGGCTTAAACCAAGACCTTGTCTAGATATTTTTAGTTTGTTGCCAAGGTAGCACTGTGAGAAATCTCACTTGAATGTTATGTAAGGGGTGAGACACAACAGTCTGACTATAAGCGAAGAAAATATCTGGGTCTTTTAGTCAGTTTGGTGCATTTGCCGCTGCTGTTGCTTTGTTTGCCTCAAACGCTGTGTTTAAACAACGTTAAATCGTAGCCTACAAGGTGGCTCTTATGTACATAGTTGTTAATACATCCGATTAATGATGTCTGACATGCTATTTTTGTAGGGAGAGACTATGTGCTAATGATATTTTGAGTTAAAATATCTTTTGGGGAGGATTTGCTGAAAAGTTGCACTTTTGTTACAATGCTTATGCTTGGTACAAGCTTATGCTGTCTTAAATTATTAAAAAAATAAATAAATACCGTCTGCAAGAAACCAGCTGGTTTAGAAAACTTTAGTATGTGAAGATAAATGAGAAATTATCTTTATATTCTAGTATTTTCAGCCCTCCATAAATTCTATTACCTAAATATTGCCACACTATTTTGTGATTTTAAAATTCTTACTAAGGAATAAAAACTTTAATATACGATATGAGATTGTCTACTAATTAAAAAGACATAATGCTCAATTAGTTTTAAGGTATCTATGAACTTAGGGATGAAAGTTATTAACGTTCTCAGATGTACTTTGTCATTGGCTTGATATCACACGTTTCCAGTTTCTTACAAGCCTCCAAGCTCTGGCCGTGTCTACCTACTTGTTTCCAGTGTATCTCAGTGAAAAATGCAAAAGAAAACCCTACCAATCACTTGCGTGGTCTGTTTATGTTAGACCAAATTTACTAATGTTTTTGACTGATGAATTTTTCACTTCTCATCTTGACTCCAGATAGACTTTTGTATGGTCTGGCATTTCTCCTTCACTGGGTCCAGTATAAATACACTGCCACTTAGGGGTGCTTAACTTCTCCTTATATTTTTAGCTCCTTAACCTTTATAAAAAGAATTCTCTTGTGGGACTTAATCATGGAATTCAAGGAAAAGAAATAATTAGTTGTAGACTTTTCTCAGATTCATAACCAAATTTGTGATCCGATATGTGAAGGATTGTCAATTTTTAGTTTCAATAACGTTCTTCACAAACCCCTTGATTTTTGAAAGGTGTTGAAATAATAGTCAAAATTTATGAGACGTAGAAAAAGTGCTCCCTCTGCTGACTTACCGCAACCAAACTACAAGTCCTAGAATGTGGAGCCAAAGGAACCTCGGAGATCAGTTTGTCCAGCCCCCTGCATTTTATAATATGAAGCCTAGAGATATCATATATCCTCCTAACATCAGATAAACAGCTACCCCGAGCCAGCACAAAAGGCCAGATCTACTGCCTCCCCCAGTCAGTAAACTACCTCCCACTGCAGCATCTTCAACCACATAAACTGAATTTGATTGGGCAGCATTCGTGAAACGTCATAAATAAAGCACAAGAACAAAGGAAATAAAAGTTACCATTAGAAAACTATGTAGGATTTTTGAGCATTGTAATGTACTGAACTTAGAAAAATATTGTCTAAATCAGAATACTGGGGAAAAGTAGTATCTTAAATATTTTGAGCTACATTTTAATGCCATATTGTAATAATATTAGTTTCACAACCAAAAAAGATTCAAAGTAAATCAGAGAACCATAAATGTTTTAGCATTTGTATAATATGGTATAATAAAGTAAAAAACCTTAGGGTTGGGCCAGATTTTACAGGTCAGTTATTTAGTCCAAATGCCTATATACTTACATAGTAATAAGATAAAGTTAGTGAGAACAGAACTGCAAAATAATATTTTCTATGTGGCATCTGAAAATTGTTATTTTGGTAATTGATTATGTCATGAATTAAAACACAGGAGTAATGACTCCAGTAATGATTCACTAAGGATGGTCCTATACCTGCAGCGGTGAAATTTTAACCAAAATGTGTTGTAATATATGTGATTTTTCAACTTAAGACAAATATGAATCGTGGGTTAGTGCTGCTTTTATACATATAGTATACGCGTAGTATTATGCCACTTGATTTTGCATACATATATTTCTCAGCAAACGTTATATTGAGTTGATAAGCGGCCTTTTCTGCACAAAGAGCTAAGGCACTAGAAACTACATTTTTAATAGCTATTTAAAGTATGACTGGAGTTTTAGTTCCTATCATGGTGAAAACTATTTTTCATTTAGTTCTCTGTTATTGGCCATGCAGGCCATAAGTCTGGTTATTGCTCATCATCTGAGATTTGTTCAAAAGTAGGTAAAAGAAGCCTCAGCCTATTTCTGAATATGTCACAGGTCAATTTTGAAGCTCTCCATGGAAGATGATTGCCAGTTCTGAGATCCTTAGAAGACAAGGCTGGGCAAACATACTAAGGCCTTTAGATAGAAATGAACAGAGCCCTCATGAACCGATCAAGGCCATTATAATGCCGAAAGCTGGCTGTACAATTATGATAATAGTCTTTTACTTCAGATGGCAATCTGATGTTTTTCATTAAACAAAAATTCTTAATCTCAGATCAATACCCATTGTTCTGTGTTGCTTTACATCAGCTCAAAATGGATATACAGTGTAGGCTAAAGTCCAGTGGAAGTCCTAGTTTTTCATAGAATTTACTAGAAGATTTACACAGAAAATTATCACACATTTCCTGTGACAGGATGAGATTTATACTGAAAAACATGTTCAGCGTGTACTTTAAAAATAGGCTCCTAGAAAGGAGTTGGACATTTGTCTTATAATTGGGTTGCTTGCACTAGTTCAGTGATTCTGTATTGGAAACTCCAAACAAATGTAAAACTATAACTTTTTTAAAAAAGTTGATATTTTAAAATTCTGAATTCAGTGATGCCCAAGTTATCTGGCCTCAGGGAATGATATGTGCCCCATGAAACAATGATTCAGAAAACTGAAGCTTCTATGTTCAAGTGCCAATATTGTTTATCTTTTCTTTTTTTCCTTACATTCTTTTAGTGGAAAGCTTACCAAAATATTACACGTGTCCTCTAAAGTGTCTTACACATGTCCTAGAAATAAATACCCTCTCCGTAGTTATCTATTCTCAATAAATCAGGGTCAACACGATAAACATCACTTTTGCACTATGCATTTCATCTGGCATCCGTGCTAAATTATTTTTGAGTTCTTATATCTGCTTTTTACAGGTTTTTCAGTATTTTTACTCTTGATCAGGCTGCCGGATGTCACTTCTTGATGTGTCAGAGTGCCTGCCTCCAACTCTTATCTAATTTGCTATCTCTGACTTACTGTGGCCTGGGAAACCATTTAACCAAAACCACACCCATTTGAAATGTGTCTAAAATTAGAATAAATAGGCTCTAACAGAAGTACCTGAGGGGCACTTTGCTAAATTGTGTGAGCTCGTAGAATCAGTAACATGTTTCTCCCACAACCTTTTTTTTCTTCATTTCTTTTACTTTGCACATTCTCAGCAATGTTCCCTATCAGAACACTTACGCAAAAGCCCTCAGTTTATATATTTTTTGATCATCTCATTACATAAAAAAGCAGCTTTCTAATGGCTTTATTCCACAACTAACCACAAAATACAGACATTTCCACAACTGAAACAAATTATTTTATTTGATCAACACTTCTTTCTCCCAGATTGATAGGAATAGGTGACCAAGGGCCATTAAGTGAAAACTGATTCAGCATTTTGATTCATGGATGACCCTGGCCCTGCTTCTGGTGTATAATTTCTTCCACTTCTGAGTTTTGGAAATATTGGGTGGCAGGTCCAGCCAAACCATTCTGGAGAACTGGGAGGGAGGTATGTAGGCCCAGATGCTGCCTCTGAATTTAGACACACCCATCAGAAAGCTTCCCGTAAGAGGTTTCAGACCCCCTACTGATTGTAACATACGCCTTTTCTCTGTGAGCCTATAAAGTCAACAAACAGTGGCTATGGGGATATGGGTATGGGTTTTGCTGTGATAGTGCTGGATAACCAAAGATTAATCATCTCTGAAGATCTCAAAGTCTAGTGGGGGTGACACCCACACCAAAATAAATTACAATGCAACATACTAAGGGCTATACAAAGGTGAATACAATACTAGGGGGTGAGGGGTGCTACCTTCATCTGCCCGGGTCAGAGGCCTAGAGTTGTAGCTGGGTTTCACAGAATGAACAAGGGAAGGAGTCCATGAGGCCATCTCCAAGGAGAAGGTTCTGATATACTCTGGTCCTGTGCTGAGCAACAGGAGTTTAATTGGCTATATTTGACTAATGTCTGAGCACTGATTTCCTGATTTCTCAGTCTCTTTAGAACTTGACAGCTGTATGATGGCTCTCACCATCATCTCCTCCTGGGAACCTGAACCGTGAGCTGGGACTGAGGGGTCATGGTGTCTCCTACTGCATGATAATTTCTAATGCAGAAGGTGGGGAGAGGGGCTAGAACCTCACAAGGAGTTTGATCTCACCTCAACCATCTCTCTGTCTTACAGTAGAAACTAAGGGTGATTGCTTTCCCTTCAAGAAAGGGCATGATGATCCATGTTCTTCACTTAGTACCTGAAGGGGAAATGAGAGAGAGAGCAGTTCTAGAGGGAAACAAGGAATCCTAAGGTCTATTTATTAAAACCTCCAGGAGGAAGCTGAAGCAAGCAACTAGTCCAAGGTCACGTAGCTGAGTAAGCAGCAGAATCAGGACTGGAACCAGATTTTTTAGTTCTGAGTCCACTGCTCTTTATGTTATTACCCCATAACAATAACAACGAGGAGGGGACAGTCTGACCTTTGCTCATGACATGAGTTGAGCTCATCCCTGTGAGATCCTAAGAGGCAGAGTATGTGTTGTTGGTGGAGAAAGGAAAGATGGTCGGGTAATGGTTTGCTTTCTAAAACATGGCATAGAGCATGCAATAATTGAAGATACAGAAATTCTGGAGACACAATATTCAAGGTCCCCTACAAAGAACCGTACGATTCCGCTGTTTACTCAATTTGGAGACACACAGAAATGTGCCCTCTTTTGTTTGGAAGTCCCCACATGATCTGGTGAGCTCTCCACCTCTGCCTCTACCCCTCCTACCTATGTGGCTCTTGTTGAACTCTAAAGACGCTCCATGAAAGAAGCGATCAAAGCAAACTATGAATCTGGACAGAAGGAACATTTAGAATTGAGGAAGTAGGAAAGAGGGCGATTTGCTACAGTTTTTACATGGGATATTTTTAGGGTGCTGTAAACTTTAGCTACAGTTTCCATTTGAAGTCTTTTACATATTGGTGTGCACATGTGTATACCTAGAATATCAAATGTTTCACAACTTAAGTATTGAGTATCCACCGCATAGCCCTGTAATAAACTTTGCTTCCATATGCGGCTTTGCAGGTTCAGCATCGTGTTTAGAAAATTAGCTTTCACAATGGAACTTCAAACCTGCATCCAATTCCTGTAGACCTCAGTTACTTAGGGTAGTCAGAAAATATCCTGTAACACCACATTTTAAAGACACCGGCTTCTCTATGATACCTTAAGCAGGGCTTGGTTTTTGAGTATGAATTATGCTGAAAAAGGCTCATCTGCATAGCTGTACTGTAGCTAGCTGGCTGATCCTCATGTGACCGAACAGGTGAAGAAACCTGACTATATGCCGCACCCCTGGAGAGCTCTGCAGACTCAAGTGGGCACGATGATGGATCTATTTCTGAGCTCTGTGTTTGAAACGTACTCATTTAAAAACTGGTAAACCGACTCTAGCTCCTTAGTTCGCCACACGAGCGCTGCTTGGTGGAGAATTAAAGCAGGGGGGAATAATGTCATCAGCCTTGAGATCTTCAAGGAGCTCTAGCATTGGAAAAAGAGAAGCATTCTTAGGTTGCCTAGCGATAAATCTGCGGATGATATCATTCTCCCGGAGGCCGGCCTCCCCCTCCGGTCCCCGCCCGGCCGGCTTCCCTCCCTACCCTCCCTTCCCCCTCCCACGCCGGGGTTCAAAGTACAGCCGCGCGGGGTGAGGGAGCCGGAGCCGGACGCGGCGCTGTCACGTGCGCCCGCACATGCCCGGGCGCACGCTGCGCGGCACGTGAGAGGGGGCGGGGCGACGCCCGCTCGCTGCTTTCCGCGCGTGCGCACTAGCCCCCACGCCCGCCGCCCACCCTCCCGCAGACGCGGACGCCCCCGGAGCTGGAGGCCGGCGGGTCCCGTGAAGGATTGCAGGGCCGAGGGCGGGGCGGCCGGGTGGGGTTAAGGACGCGCCCTCCCAACAGCTGCGACACAGTCTTCCCTGCTGAGTCCTAGCGGGCCGGCTCTAGGTAGTCATTCCTCCCAAATTAAAGCTGGCTCGGACTCCGGGCTCCTCGAACCATTCTGACACAGCAGTTTCCGAGCTGCCCTCCTGGGCGCGGGTTAGAGGAAGGTCGACAGCCTCCCGGGGAGGGCCTTGAGGCGGGGACTTGAAGCCTGGGCTGGCCGCGGCCGGGGGAAGTGAAGTGCCAGGCGCGGGGGCGGGGGTTGGGGGGAAGGAAGGTGGCGGACACACCCGGCCGCGCCGGGACTAGGGCCAGACCGCGTCCTGCCCTGGTTCCCGGGCCACGTCTTGCTGGAGAAACCCCGGGCGGTGGTGGGACTGAGGAGAGTGCTAGACCAGATATCTGGGCAAACCAGGCTGGTGGAGGCGTTGCATCTTTCGTTGGTCTGTTTTGCAAATTGAATTCCCACTGATTAAGCACTGGGGGATTTAGTTAATTGTGATAAAATACATTGGGACTTTCCGTGCAGGGTGTACAGTAAAAAAAGTGATTTTGTGGCACCAGTGGTGCGGTAAAGTGCATGGTGCGGTGAAGTGAAGGAAATTAATGTAGTCAGGGGCTGAGGGATGGCTTTTCTTTTTAAGTTATAGTCTACAAAAAGTGATTAAATCGCACACTTCCACTTTTCGAAGTGTTCGCGTTGATTTTGTAAAACTTCTAGAAACATGCATGTTTATAAATAATCTGAGTAGCGTGGAGGAATTTGGACTTCAGGATGCCCTTTAGATAACCGAGAATACCCAGCAGTGTAACAAAAGTAGGGAAGCACCACTGCCTCCTGCAAATATGGTTTTGGTCTTGTGATGGAAAGCGATCTCCGCGTTGCCAGTAATATTTGGACAGGTCAGGTGCCAATATTTGCAAAGACATCATAGAAAGGTTGTGTACTGTCCAGTGTAAAGGGCGCAGTCAGTGCCACCCTGGAGACAGACTGCTGTAAGCTAAGAGACGTTCACAAAGCACAAGATGAATTCATTGTTTGTTGCTGGCCTTTTAATGATAGGTATGCATAATGTCCGAGATGGCATAGTTAATAATATCCTGAGAGTTGAAAAAGCAAAGGTAGACTTCAAACATGCACTCAACAAATTTATACTGAGCTCTTACTATGTGCCAGGCATCCGGGATACGGCAGTGATCCATATTGACAAATTCATCACCCATTATGGTGCTCAAAACTCGTGATCAGTATCCCTCTGCACTGGATTTTTTTTTTTTTTAACTTGGCACCTAACGA